ATTATTAAATTATTAAAATCTCGACAACATTTAAGATAATGAAATTAAGCATCAGACCCTTTCCAAAAATCGAGGAAAAGGGTAAACAGGTGGGATAGGCAGGACAGGTAGGACTAATAACTGACTCCTTGGTGACTAAGCACTTGTAGAGCCATCTGTGTAAATACAGCCAGTAAGTTGGTAATGGAGGTGGGACCAAAGACTACTAGATGTGAATTTAGAGGTCTCCTGGAAGAGAGAGTTGGTCTGGGGTGGGGAGGGACTAGGCACAACCATGAGCAACATCAGATATGGCTGGGGAACAATTCCTTTAGAAAGTCAGAATATATAAAATAAATGTAAATATTGTATATATGAATTGACTGTTGATATCTTAAAAGAAATCGTTGGATTCTACTGCAGTTTTAGTGGATAAAATGAAAAAAATACTCTCTCCACAGACATGCTGTGGATAATCAAAGTTTACAACCACTTACTGGAACTGAGCCAATAATGTGGGTTCACTATAACGACACGTCCAAGCTTTTCTCAGTTTCGTCCCAATGTAGCCAAAATCTACTTTTATATGTAAAATGCTCAGTACCAACCTGCGGAAATCAGTCGGTGGAAAGAAAGCGCAGGAAGATTAATACCAACGAAGACAGTAAGTTCGCAGTAGGAGAAACTTGTATTGCTAATATCAAGTACAAAACAAACGCACAAGATTTGTCCACAGACTTTATATTGACTGCCACTAACACTACTGAAAGCTTGTATATTAGGGCAGAGGATTGAAATTTAAATAATTGATGCAAGACTCCTTAGTATTCATTTTACATATAAAAATAAATACAAAAAATGAAAACTTGCAAGACAATTCTAAAAGCTTAATTCTTCCCATCAAATATTGAGCCTATTAAATTGTAGGGCACTCCCCCCATTTCCCATTTAGAGATGGAGTAGATTTCTTACCTTGAGAGTATTTGAAAGTAAATACTAAAAATATCTGTTAATATAACTAATGTAAGTGTGCCTTTGTTGAAAGTGCCATCTTGTATATATAAATCTATTACACCTTCCTCTCTAAGTAACCGAAAAATAAAACGTAGAAATAAGGAAAATGAAACCGTTATTTTAGTGCTACTGCAAAGAGTAGACCCTAGTAATTCTAGCAGGAGATATGGTATAAAATATACAATCAGAACTAGTTTTTAGAAGTTAATCATCTTGCACCACATACAGGTGTTGAAGATTTGCGGTCATATCGCAGTCTTGACCGGATTGTTGGTGGCCGAGAAGCAGAAGCTAATGTTTGGAGTTTTATTGTCGGAATCCTCAGCGACGGCATATACCACTGTGGCGGAACCATCCTTACGTCAGAGTGGATTCTTACCGTGTCGCATTGTTTTTCTGATTTGTAAGGCTGATGGAGTATAAGATTTTCACAATACTTGCATTATTAATGCACTTGGGAAAAATGACTGTACATGATACCAGTGATTTGGATTTTCAGTTACCTTCAACGAAATTTTGAAGTTCAGGCAGGAATGTATCGGCGAGGTTCCTGGTCTCCATTTGAACAGACCTCTGCCGTGTCTCGTGTGATTCGTCATCCAGAATTCAACTCCCTTCTACAGAATGATGTGGCACTCGTCAAACTAGAGACGCCTCTTTACCTCAACAGGTGATTGAAACCTCTCCCAATTCTAGAAAGCTGCTATTTAAATTTTTGATGATTGGTAAAGGCAGTTTGCAATCAGGAAATCGACTGCTTACTCATTTACGTTTTGTGTTACAGATGGGTCCGTCCTGTGTGTTTGGCAAGAGACATCCATCCAGAGGAGGAGGATTACTGTACTGTAGCAGGATGGGGAACGCAAATAGAGGGCGAAATACAATCAAAGTGTAAATGATCACCTTTTGGGTCTTGTTCAAATAACAATGTTTTAATGAACATTTCAAATATATGCCTTTTTATCTCCCAAACATTTCAGCGGATACCATGATGGAAGTTGATGTTCCAATCTTAGGCAGCTGTTTAAACAGTTTTCCGGGATATAGTGACGAGTCTTTAATATGCGCAGGATATAAGGAAGGCATGAAAGATGCGTGTGCAGGGGACTCTGGTGGTCCATTGATGTGCTATGGGTAAATTGTTCCTTTTCTAAAGTGAAATGTCTTTTCTTGTGCATTCCATAGGCATGTAAAAATATAAATTACTCATGTTGAAATAAAGCAATATGTTCACCTATATACAAGACAATATCCGGTAATAAGCTTCACTTTCCTAGGGACACGGAAGGCTGGGTGCAAGCTGGGATAGTTTCCTTTGGCCGCGGCTGTGCTCGGCCAAATGAGCCTGGGTCCTATTCCAGGGTAACCTTCTTTTACTCATGGATAATTGAAACTTTGGGTGAGTAACCAACAAATTGGGTCTCATAATGTTCCAAATGAAAGATTTACAGTTGCAGTCATAATCCTAGGTCTAATATAGTAACCAATAAGTGCCATCCCTGTTGTCAGAACATATGCTGCAGGGATCTCAGAGGTGTATATAAAATTTCTTGTTTAATGTATTATCTTGTCTAACATTTTTTTTTAGATCTCTTAAATTACGCAACAGGGGGATGCATAGTTTCATTAACCTCTACACTCAGGTTAAAGTATTGAAAATTACCTTTTTCCCTCGTTAATTTTCCTGCATCCAGGGTATTCCTGTACCATCACATGTACTTTTTCTTGCTTTATAGCATGGAAATTAGTTCAAAATTCTGACTCCTGACGTAGTAGTCATATGAACCAAAATCAAAACAATGCAGTAGTCTGCTGTAAGGTAAAGAGTTATAAACTAATCAACACACCACATGCCCTCCTCCCATGCTGCATGCCAAGCCCTTCTCCCTTTTTTTTTTTTGGTATGTAGAAATTTTTGCTCAGGGCAATGTAAAGCAATGGTGTGATAGCCTAGTTAATGTAAGTCGCTTGCGTACCTTCAAGCTTGCTGCTCCCACCGCTGGCTAGCCTGGTGCGAAAAGGGAGCAGCTGTGGATAAGACTCCCCAATCATAGCCTCTCCATCATCAAGATTTTCACAGTCTCTCCTCATGGCCACCATGGAAACTAGGAACCTTGCGGTTCTTAGCTGAACTCTGGAGGCTCTTAGAAAAGCAGGAGGCCCTAAATGAGTCATGGCCCACCAGTGTGTGGACACACCCTGGCTTCATACTAACTCGTGCCCCCACTAACCTCTTTGGAGAGGCATACCATGCCAAGATAAACTGGCAGCATACCATACAGTTGTTGGTGCTAGGGGGAGGGCAAATATCTCTTACCCAGCAAGTAAGGTGGGCTGGATTGGCGACCACTGGGACTCAATCAGGGAGCAGGGGTCACTATCGTCCCGTCTGCGTCCTGGCAGCCGCCAACCTGGTGTAAGGCCTGTGAGGCAAAGCCCATGGGACTCCCACAGGTGGATTATGGGGCCTGCAGCCAGCCAACACTCACTATGGAGGGCAGCGTCGGTGGAGGTGAAAGAAGTGGCGTCCACCCAGAGTGACAGCCCATGTTAAACCTCAGGCAGGCTGTCAGGGTTGTGGCTTGGAATGTCCACTCTTTGCGATAAGACAACTGGTTACGATTGCTGTCGAGGGAGCTGAAGCAGCTGAAAGTTGTGGTTGCTCTCTAGGAGGTGAAAAGACCTGGCAGTGGCATGATTAGTGTTGGTGGGTACACTAATTACTGGTCGGGCCGCTGCGAAACCCACCATCTCCAGAGAGTACCCATAGCCATATCTAGCAGACTTCAACCCTCAGTAGTAGAGATCACTCCAGTTGATGAGCATATAATGGTATTTAAATTGAAGCTTACAATTGGCTTCATATCTCTTACTTACATCTTACTGATGTTTATAAACATAATGCAAAAGAAATGTTTTACTTCAAACTTGCATCTGTGACAGGCAGCTGTCCTCAGTGAGATATTCGTAATTTTCTAGGTGACTTAAATCTGGCTGCGATTGAGCTAGCTATAAGGTGTCTGTAAGCTCTCATGGCTCAGCTGCTGATGCTGGCAATGAGAATAGCCTCATTTTCTAGGACTTTGCTAGGTCCCTGAAATTGAGGATTTCTGACTCCTGGTATCGGCGTTCTTACCTGCATCGTTGGACTTGATACAGGATATAGATAATTTGGCCAAGGATGTGGGACACCTTCAAGCATGAACACTAGATGCAGCCCAAAAATCAATTGGTGAATGCCCAAGAGCAAGACATAATTTCATCTCGCAGAAGACACTGGAAGCCACAGATGCTTGTCGGGCAGCTCGACTGTTGGGATTACTTGTTCCCTGGTGTGCAGGACTGCCTACCAAGCCCTGAACGAGCTGAACTCTAAGCCCTCCTCACAGAAAACTGCAATCCACTCAGGGCAATGTACCCACACCCCGACAGGATATTATCAATCCACTTGCTGAGTATTTTGAGCAGTTGTATCAGGTGGATCCACCAGACATTAACTTGGATGCAGGAAGTGTCGAGATTCCTTTGCCGGGAATCTCGGATGCCGGATGGGTTGGTTCTTTGCCTGACCCACCCATTCGCGAGGATCCACCCTTCCTGACTTGAAGTCAGAGGGACAATCTCCAAGCTGAAGAGTGGAAATGCAGCGGTATCTGTGGCATCTAAGCTGAACTGTTAAAGGCTGGTGGAGAACCTATGGCAAGGGGCTTGCATGCTGTCCTGTCTGCCATCTGGCAGACTGTTACCATTCCCCCTGAACTGCTGAGGGGTGTGGCCATCCCTTCGAGTCATTGTAAAGCACGGTTGAGAGTTCAGACATGGGCCCTTTGCTGCTTACATCGACCTCAAGAAAGTGTTTATTACCTGAGGAATTCCAATAAGGATTATTGGAATAATAGTAAGCTTGTATACTGGTACTGAAGGTGCTGCAAAGTGTGATGGGGGCTTCTTCCCTGTTAGTTTAGGGTTGAGGGAAGGCAGTGTTCTTGCACCAACACTTTTCAACACTTGCATGGATATGATATTGACCTTGACTTTCTATCTGAATCCCTGGAAACCCTAGTGGCACCTCTTGATTCAATTAGCAATGAAGCGAAGCTCCTGGGGAAAGAATTTTCCTGGACCAAGAGCAAGATCCAAGACTTTGGGGGCCTACTAGGAGATCCAGTTCAGTCGGAACTGATGTGAGAAAATCGAGGTCACAGAGAGCTTTATATACCTTGTTAGTGTAGTTCAACAGGAAGTCAGTAGTAGGATTGGCCTGGAAATCTCTCAACAAGAGTAATTGGTGATGCTGGTACCTGTGTAGAAGGACCTAGCTATGTGTCTCCAGGACCAAGATACTGTCAGTTTTACTGAAACCTGGATGCTGTCTTGTGCCTTGGAATCTCGTCTTGATTCCTTTGGTAACAGGTCCTTGCGCTGGATCATGGGGTACAGTTGGCGGGACCATGTATCCAACAGTTGCACAGTAAGACTGGCACAGGACCTGTTACTTGCACAATCCGTGATCGCCAACTCATTAGCTCCCCAATGACAATGATAAAAAATTGCTGCAGTAGTATACTACCCCATATGTTGTCATAGCATTACAATGATTCTATGATCAATTCAGAATGCGATATCCTGTGATTTCCTACAAGGCAGAACGATTCTAGTGAATACAGTGTAGAGGGACTAGCATCATGAGTATTGATATGGTAAACCTGGATCCTAGGGTGGCCATTGGCCGCCTGTTGGATGTAGCTTAGTAATTATCTTTCATGGCCATATTACATTCATCATCATTGATAAACACTTACATAATCATATACACTTGTAAAGTAAATTTTGATTATTATTAGCCGTTTCCTATGGGTTATGTCTTCCCCTGAATAAAGCATTCTTTTGTCATCAATGTTCATAACTTGAAGTTCTCTCCCCTTGCCCATTATGGTTGACATATAGATGTGCTGTTTACGCAGTGGTACATGTAGGTGATGCAATTGATAGGCATGCTGCCTTTCTGTTTGGAGTGAGAACTTTTCCATACATAATTTCTCTCAGATTTTATGCTGAGAAGCACAGTTTTGCTGTGCAGCCATGGAGAAAACAAACCATGCATTGACTTTCGTCTCTTTGATTGCATCATTTTCATTATCACAGGAAAAATAGAAGATAATGAAAACTTACCAGCTATTGACCTCCAAACGAAATGCCTTGGATCATTTTGCCAACTACCAGCGGGAAAATGTCTACATGCTAAGCTTGTGTGTGACCGAGAGGTGAGGAGTAGATTAACTTTGTTGAAAGTTAGCAGTAACTTTTCATATCAGTTTATTTGTCTGCAAGGGTATATTTTACGTTCCAAAACCATGGACCTTTTGTGAAAAAATACAACTAAATACAAGGAATAACTATTTTATTAGACTTTTTATTCCTCGTCTCCTTTTTATCTTGTCTATATCCTGTTGTTGTTTTGTGGTAAAATAGTTTGCAAGACAAAGATAGATGTAAAATTAGTTATTCCTAATTAGTGGGCCCATGCTATTAATGACATATATGACCTTTTCCAAAACGGGATTGTCACCTATGAAAGACCATGATTTTAAAGTCTCAAATGTAGTTTTTATTTCCAACTTAGACTGTGGAACCTCATGATTCCATAAACAAATATGAACTCCCAAAACTATGATTAGCAGATTGTCCAGTTACTTTTAAAACCTTATACCTTTCTGTATTTCGTCAATAGGTAAACTGTTTAGATGCTGTAGATGAACTGTATTGCAACCCTGAAGTACCAGCAACCCCCTCGACAGATAGCTTGGAAACGAGCCCCACCATAACCACAGCAGATAACAATGCATCCGATGTCAACACACAAAACACCGCCTCCGACGCCGCAGGTGCCAACAACACCGCCTCCGACGCCGCAGGTGCCAACAACACCGCCTCCGACGCCGCAGGTGCCAACAACACCGCCTCCGACGCCGCAGGTGCCAACAACACCGCCTCCGACGCCGCAGGTGCCAACAACACCGCCTCCGACGCCGCAGGTGCCAACAACACCGCCTCCGACGCCGCAGGTGCCAACAACACCGCCTCCGACGCCGCAGGTGCCAACAACACCGCCTCCGACGCCGCAGGTGCCAACAACACCGCCTCCGACGCCGCAGGTGCCAACAACACCGCCTCCGACGCCGCAGGTGCCAACAACACCGCCTCCGACGCCGCAGGTGCCAACAACACCGCCTCCGACGCCGCAGGTGCCAACAACACCGCCTCCGACGCCGCAGGTGCCAACAACACCGCCTCCGACGCCGCAGGTGCCAACAACACCGCCTCCGACGCCGCAGGTGCCAACAACACCGCCTCCGACGCCGCAGGTGCCAACAACACCGCCTCCGACGCCGCAGGTGCCAACAACACCGCCTCCGACGCCGCAGGTGCCAACAACACCGCCTCCGACGCCGCAGGTGCCAACAACACCGCCTCCGACGCCGCAGGTGCCAACAACACAGCCGCCACCTCTAATTATACAGTGTATGGAGGATATAATAACCAATTCAGTATAAGTAACGCTGCAGTGCCACCGACTGCCCCAGAGTGCTCTTACACAGAATTTGTGTGTGAAAAGTAAGTATAATATATAAATGTGCGTCAACGCACGCATGCACGTACGCACGCGTACACACATTTGCACTCACGCACGCACGCACACATTTGCACTCACGCACGCACACGTCGCTCGCGCGCATGTACGCATACGTGCGCACACGTACGCATACGTGCGCACACGTCGCTCGCTCGCGCGCATGTACGCATACGTGCGCACACGTCGCTCGCTCGCGCGCATGTACGCATACGTGCGCACACGTCGCTCGCTCTCGCGCATGTACGCATACGTGCGCACACGTCGCTCGCTCGCGCGCATGTACGCATACGTGCGCACACGTCGCTCGCTCGCGCGCATGTACGCATACGTGCGCACACGTCGCTCGCTCGCGCGCATGTACGCATACGTGCGCACACGTCGCTCGCTCGCGCGCATGTACGCATACGTACGCACACGTCGCTCGCTCGCGCGCATGTACGCATACGTGCGCACACGTCGCTCGCTCGCGCGCATGTACGCATACGTGCGCACACGTCGCTCGCTCGCGCGCATGTACGCATACGTGCGCACACGTCGCTCGCTCGCGCGCATGTACGCATGCACGCGCACACGTCCCTCGCTCGCGCGCATACACGCATGCACGCGCACACGTCGCTCGCTCGCGCGCATACACGCATGCACGCGCACACGTCGCTCGCTCGCGCGCATACCACGCATGCACGCGCACACGTCCCTCGCTCGCGCGCATACACGCATGCACGCGCACACGTCCGCTCGCTCGCGCGCATACACGCATGCAACGCGCACACGTCGCTCCGCTCGCGCGCGCATACACGCATGCACGCGCACACGTCGCTCGCTCGCGCGCATACACGCATGCACGCGCACACGTCGCTCGCTCGCGCGCATACACGCATGCACGCGCACACGTCGCTCGCTCGCGCGCATACACGCATGCACGCGCACACGTCGCTCGCTCGCGCGCATACACGCATGCACGCGCACACGTCGCTCGCTCGCGCGCATACACGCATGCACGCGCACACGTCGCTCGCTCGCGCGCATACACGCATGCACGCGCACACGTCGCTCGCTCGCGCGCATACACGCATGCACGCGCACACGTCGCTCGCTCGCGCGCATACACGCATGCACGCGCACACGTCGCTCGCTCGCGCGCATACACGCATGCACGCGCACACGTCGCTCGCTCGCGCGCATACACGCATGCACGCGCACACGTCGCTCGCTCGCGCGCATACACGCATGCACGCGCACACGTCGCTCGCTCGCGCGCATACACGCATGCACGCGCACACGTCGCTCGCTCGCGCGCATACACGCATGCACGCGCACACGTCGCTCGCTCGCGCGCATACACGCATGCACGCGCACACGTCGCTCGCTCGCGCGCATACACGCATGCACGCGCACACGTCGCTCGCTCGCGCGCATACACGCATGCACGCGCACACGTCGCTCGCTCGCGCGCATACACGCATGCACGCGCACACGTCGCTCGCTCGCGCGCATACACGCATGCACGCGCACACGTCGCTCGCTCGCGCGCATACACGCATGCACGCGCACACGTCGCTCGCTCGCGCGCATACACGCATGCACGCGCACACGTCGCTCGCTCGCGCGCATACACGCATGCACGCGCACACGTCGCTCGCTCGCGCGCATACACGCATGCACGCGCACACGTCGCTCGCTCGCGCGCATACACGCATGCACGCGCACACGTCGCTCGCTCGCGCGCATACACGCATGCACGCGCACACGTCGCTCGCTCGCGCGCATACACGCATGCACGCGCACACGTCGCTCGCTCGCGCGCATACACGCATGCACGCGCACACGTCGCTCGCTCGCGCGCATACACGCATGCACGCGCACACGTCGCTCGCTCGCGCGCATACACGCATGCACGCGCACACGTCGCTCGCTCGCGCGCATACACGCATGCACGCGCACACGTCGCTCGCTCGCGCGCATACACGCATGCACGCGCACACGTCGCTCGCTCGCGCGCATACACGCATGCACGCGCACACGTCGCTCGCTCGCGCGCATACACGCATGCACGCGCACACGTCGCTCGCTCGCGCGCATACACGCATGCACGCGCACACGTCGCTCGCTCGCGCGCATACACGCATGCACGCGCACACGTCGCTCGCTCGCGCGCATACACGCATGCACGCGCACACGTCGCTCGCTCGCGCGCATACACGCATGCACGCGCACACGTCGCTCGCTCGCGCGCATACACGCATGCACGCGCACACGTCGCTCGCTCGCGCGCATACACGCATGCACGCGCACACGTCGCTCGCTTCGCGCGCATACACGCATGCACGCGCACACGTCGCTCGCTCGCGCGCATACACGCATGCACGCGCACAC